CGACGGGCGCGAGCGAGCGGGGGGCACGAAGGCATACAATATATAGGGCCACAGAAAGCGAGAGCAGGGCCGCTGAGGGCAACAATGGGGGCCACGAAGAGCGCGACTGCGGGGCCACGAAGGGTACCCAACGACGGGCGCGTGCGAGCGGAGGCCACGAAGAGCCATGAAAATTGCCGGGCACTGAGGTGGCAGCGACGGGGCCAATGAAGGGCAGCAACGTGGCCACGAAGGGCATGCATAGCGGGCCACGACGGGCATATAATGCGGGGACACTGTGGGCAGCAAAGGGGCCACTGAGGGTAGCAAAATAGGCCAAGAAGGGCAGCGAGGGGACCACAGAGGGCGACAGCGGGGCCACGAAGGCAGCAATGTGGGCCACGAAGGGCGCACGCGAGTGCGGGGGCCACGAAGGGCATACGTATATGGGGCCACACAGGGCGACAGCGGGGCCACTGAGCGCAGAAAGTGGGCCACGAAGGGCAGCAAGGGGGTCACGAATGGCGACAGCGGGGCGACGAGGGACGTGCATAGTGGGCAAGACGAAAGGCGCACGCGAGCGGGGGCCACGAAGGGCATGCAATGCGGGGCCACTGAGGGCAGCAAAGGGGCCACGAAGGGCGACAGTGGGGCCACGAAGGGCATCAATTGGGCCACGACGGGCGCGAGCGAGCGGGGGGCACGAAGGGCATAGATATATAGGGCCACAGAAAGCGAGAGCAGGGCCGCTGAGGGCAACAATGGGGGCCACGAAGAGCGACTGCGGGGCCACGAAGGGTACCACGACGGGCGCGTGCGAGCGGAGGCCACGAAGAGCATAGAATGCCGGGCCACTGAGGGCAGCGACGGGGCCAATGAGGGCAGCAACGTGGCCACGAAGGGCATGCATAGCGGGCCACGACGGGCATATAATGCGGGGACACTGAGGGCAGCAAAGGGGCCACTGAGGGTAGCAAAATAGGACAAGAAGGGCAGCGAGGGGACCACAGAGGGCGACAGCGGGGCCACGAAGGGCAGCAATGGGGCCACGAAAGGCGCACGCGAGCGGGGGCCACGAAGGGCATACGTATATGGGGCCACAAAAGGCGACAGCGGGAACACGAACAGCAGTGATGGGGCAAGAAGGGCAGCGAGGGGGCCACGAAGGGCGACAGGGTGGCCACGAAGGGCATGCATAGTGGGCCACGAAAGGCGCACGCGAGCGGGGGCCACGAAGGGCATGCAATGCGGGTCCACTGAGGGCAGCAAAGGGGCCACGAAGGGCGACAGTGGGGCCACGAAGGGCATCAATTGGGCCTCGACGGGCGCGAGCGAGCGGGGGGCACGAAGGGCATAGATATATAGGGCCACAGAAAGCGAGAGCAGGGCCGCTGAGGGCAACAATGGGGGCCACGAAGAGCGACTGCGGGGCCACGAAGGGTACCACGACGGGCGCGTGCGAGCGGAGGCCACGAAGAGCATAGAATGCCGGGCCACTGAGGGCAGCGACGGGGCCAATGAGGGCAGCAACGTGGCCACGAAGGGCATGCATAGCGGGCCACGACGGGCATAGAATGCGGGGACACTGAGGGCAGCAAAGGGGCCACTGAGGGTAGCAAAATAGGACAAGAAGGGCAGCGAGGGGACCACAGAGGGCGACAGCGGGGCCACGAAGGGCAGCAATGGGGCCACGAAAGGCGCACGCGAGCGGGGGCCACGAAGGGCACACGTATATGGGACCACAAAAGGCGACAGCGGGAACACGAACAGCAGTGATGGGGCAAGAAGGGCAGCGAGGGGCCACGAAGGGCGACAGCGTGGCCACGACGGGCATGCAAAGTGGGCCACGAAAGGCGCACAAGCGAGCGGGGGCCACGAAGAGGCATGCAATGCGGGGCCACTGAGGGCAGCAAAGGGCCACGAAGGGCGACAGTGGAGCCAGA